TTTGGCTAGACGCGATCTGGAGTTTATGAAACTCATATATGTTTACTTTAAGAATATTAACATTAGATTGTAAGTTTTATTAACCTTGTGTTTAGTTTGTATTTTGTACGTGTGGGTTTTTTTTTATGTTTGTTTTCAAGATGAATAGAAATTAGTTCATGTTTTAGGATTAATTAAATATTTGTATCGTAAACCACATTTCAAACCTGCCTCTCCCTTTTCCCATCCAAAAAAATTGTAAATCTCCACTAACCTCGAGACAACCGCGAGTATCCGGTCCAGCTCCTTTAACTTTAAATATAAGAAATCAATAATGTATAACAAAAATGATAACTCGGCTCTGTAAAGTTTATTCGATTGAGCCTGTACAAATAAAGTAATAAATAAAAAAAAAAAAAAACTATGTAAATCGTTGACTTCACGTAGAAGTAATACTAAAACATATAGTCAAAGCTCAGAAACTTGCTAAGCAATTTGAGAGTTCCCATAATTTCAGTTTGGGTCTTACTAGTCCTATTGAGAATCAGGTTGCTCGGGATTATCTGAATATTTTCTCTCGGGAAAATATTTTTGATGATTCCTGGGGGACTGATTTGGACGAAGTAAGGTCTATGACTAAAAAGTTTCAAAATATGAAAGCTCCAGGTGATGATGGAATTTTCTATATCTTCATCAAAAAACTCCCAGAGAGTACCTTGTCTTTCTTGGTAAAATTAAACTGGGTGGCCTTCGCTTTGAGAGGAAAGGTCTTTAGAACGGTTTGTTTACAAATGCTGAAGGGCCCTTTTCTAATATTAATTCAGAATTTCTTTGATGCTCTGGTGCTAATTTTACTACTCATCATTCTCGTCTATGATTATGTTTGCTATTAAACTAGAGAAAGTTTTCTAAATAACGTTATAGTGAAGCAAATTGTATTCATCAGGGAAAAAAAGAACAACAAAATTAACTTTGAATTGACCTTTGCTGAAAAAAAACTATGGTTTTAAAGCAATTATATTTGCCGTATTCATGCTACAAGGTGAAAATCGCTGTTGCATCAATTCGCATTGACGGCATTGGCTCTTCACAGATTGATAGTTCCTTAGGTGCTGTTTATTAACTACGTATACATTGGGGGGGGGGGTTCACTTTTTGTCCACGGTCCATACAAATTTTAAAATTTCAGGAGGGGGGTCAAGAATCCCAAAAAACTGTATACGTAGTTAATGAACAGCCCCTGTGATATTTTTCATTTGAGCGACAGAGTACGGAACAGCCCGCCATGCTTCACGCACAGAATGACAGTTGTTTGTGGGGTTTTGCCATAGGAGTAAAGAGGTACAGTATCGCCGGAAAGGTCAATCAGAAAAGGAACGAAAAAATAGCTACAGGTAGACTGCGATGAAAAAAAAAAGAAGAAGAAGCACGGTATTCGATCTGACACCAGACCCTGGCACGGAGCCGCACGGAGCGCACCGAATAACCATAGCACGGCACCAAGCCGAATAAAACGGCTCCGCGTTCAGGTTTCTTGTTCGTGTCGGTGGCGAGCCGACAAGAGGTACCGAAACCGAGTGCGTGTTAGCTTTGAACGGGCGTTACTTACTGTACAAATTGGAATTTACAGATAATGCTACAATGCATAATCACGATGGTGTTTCAATATGATGTCTGTGTTTGGGAAACAATAACAAAATGAAATTTTGATTGCCTTTCTTTTTGCAACCGTCGGTAAGCTGCACAGACTCCTCCCATCATGATTAGTTTGCTATCAAGTAGCGACACTCTCTTATTGCGTAGTTTGCCAATGTCAATACCGTGAAAGCAAAGGGCAATTAACGAGTTATTAACGAAAGATGAAGAGAATCGATCGAAATCTCTTGCACCCCTGCATCCAAGTTCGGCTACAAGATTTCAACTCTGGAGAGCATTTTGTGTGGTTGTTGGGGGCGTGTGGTTCAGAATATGGAGAAACAGGCACATATAAATTCTATTTCAACTCTTTACTGTAATAAGCTTGTTGGCCCTGAAAAGGGCCGTTTTGTTGTCAAAGTTGGTGATGATGTAACCTCCGAAACCGTACAGAGTGCAGGGGCATGAAGTAGTTCGCCTCCTCGTGGTGTGCCCTGGAAACGCTAATTATCGAACCCAAGGGAGAGATATTGCGGCTAAACGAACTACCGCAGAGTAGGGACGCTGGAACCCCATCCAGCTCGTCCCAGGAGGTTGAGAAGCCCTGCACAAACCCTCGTTGTAGGAGTGACGCCGGGTTCTTAGAGTGCCTAGCACACGCAGCTGGTAAGCGGTCACATCTGTCCTAAGCTGCCCTGTTGGACAGTTGGCTGGCTATCACATCTGCTCTAGAACTCGGGCGAACAACAACAACAAGAGGAAGGCCCTGCACAGCTGCTCACTGTGCAGTAGCGAGTGTCACGTCGGACACAACACCAAGTGATGCGCCATAGCGCAACCGGCCCCCTCCCATGACGTAATGTTTTCGGGCGGTTCCGGGGAGGGCAAGGGCCTAGAGCACAGGGTAAGGTTTAGTGGGTCGGGAGAGCTATTTCTCCTATCCCCACACCCTGAGATTCCCCCCCCCCCCCTGTATAAAAAAAAGAGCGCATCTCTGTCGCTTCAAAGTGTAGATGATATCCATGGCCGCTTGGCGTGTTCAGTGTAGGTGACAGCATAACGGATCTCATTTTCTAGGAACATCTTCAGCACACCTCGTAGATCAGACCGGAGATACGTTTGACACCACCACGGCGAACCAGACGACGGATGGCGGTTATCACGAAGAACCTTGCGATGACGCTTGGTGCCTTCTTTATCAAGATCTTTTCCTCCTCTGCCACAACCAGTCATTGTTGCTTGTTAGGTAGAAGAGTGGACTACCTATAACCTGCCACCACCTTCCTACTGCTGCTTCTGCTGCCTGCTCACCACGCCGTCCGAAATGCCGCGAAAATGAGTTTAGGCTAGACAGCAGCGCTCTTTTACATCTTTTCAGGTTATAGCAGCATTATGTGCAAACAAGTGGTACTCGATTATGACGACTGGGTTTGGGAAGAACGTTTATTTAATATTTTTTTTTCCTTTGGTTTGTTTTTTTCCGTCGATCTTGTTTTCCGTGCTGAGCACCAATGCTACCGACGTGCCAGGAAGGCAGCTCCCACACCTGGACCCTACCTATCGACCCATCAACTCATGAACCGGGGACCAACGGCTTTACTTCCCATCCGAAGGAAGGCGTGATCAGAGATGTTATGCCTCAGAACATCCCGGCGGCGCCGACTGGTATTGAACCCAGGCATGCTGGGGTGAGAGGCAATCACGCTTACCACTACTCCACCGGCGCCGTTATCGTTTATTTAATGAAAACAGTGATAAAATTATCACTTTTTATTTGTACATTGGACAATGCGTGACATTTACCACTTTTTCAAAAGTTTCTTGTTGAAAATAAATAGTCGGAAGCAATTTTATTGATGCGTAGAAATATTTCTGATCGATTGGTGATAAAATGATTGAAATTTGACCAAGGGCAGCTGAGTTATTAACGTTCAAAATCTTTCTTAATTTGTTACATGTTCCATTTTTGGTTTTCACAAAGTGTACCCTCATATAGAAATCAAAGACGTTGTCCTACGTAAAAATTGAAACCAGGGATCGTCAGCTGCACAGCAAGGTATTGAGGTGCGTTGAAGTCAACCCCGGTCTTTCGATCCGAGATATGACCAGAAGGTACACTGCCAACTTTCAAACGGTGCGGAACATCCTTGCCAGGGAAGGACACAAGTCGTACAAAGCCAGTAAACATCCAAACCGGCACATGAAGCAGAATTCCGTGGCCAAAAAGCGTGCAAGGCTGTACGACCGTGTTTTGAAGAAACACAAGGGCTACAGTTTGATCGTTGAGGAAACATACGTTAAACTCGATTTTAAGCAGCTTTCCGGTCAAAAATTTTACATCGCGACTGGACGTGGGGACGTGCCGGGAAGATTCAAGTTCGTGTTTGCCGACAAATTCGCGAAGATTGCCATGAATTGGCAAGCGAGTCACATCCTCGACGATGGCATCCCAAGTTTACATCGAAGAATGCCTGAAAAAGCGTGTATTGCCATTCATCCACAAGCATAGGGACAAAGTCATCTTTTGGCCCGATTTGGCCAGCTGCCACTACTCCAAGGTGGTTCTGGAGTGGTATGCTGCCAACAAGATCAATTTTGTCCCCAAGCTAATGAATCCTCCGAATTGTCCGGAACTTCGACCAATCGGAAAATACTGAGCAATTTCAAAGCATCGACTTTGACGAAGTGGCGGGGCAGTCAAGGACATCCAGCAAATGCGGCAAAATAGAAAAAAAATGCGCTAATTCCGTGTCAGTTTCCACTGTGCGGGCGCTGATGGGCTTCATCAAGAGGAAGGTTCGAGATTTCGTTCGAACTGGAGAAATGCAACCACCTAATGCTGAAACTTTGAAGTTTCAATAAAAGTACGGTAAAGCAACCTTTAAGGGGCTGTTCATAAACTACGTAGACAGTTTTTTTTTAATTCTTGACCCCCTCTGCCCCTGCGTAGACAATAGTCCATACAAAAAATTTGAAATTTGTATGGGCCGTGGATAATTGTCAACCCCCCCCCCCCTAAACTGTCTACGTAGTTTATGAACAGCCCCTAATGGACTTTTTAAACTTATTGAATCACGAGTTACAGGTCTTTTTGTGCGTACCAATTTACTTGTAGTCAGCCTTTAACTAACCATATGCATACTATCATTACTTCAATCAAGCTTCTGCCCCAACCTCAAATCAGGCACACATTTATTGAATATCCCGACCCCGAGCTCATTAATGCACTTCCACATCCGATATTTGCCGTTTCCGCACCTTCGTCGCCTTCGACTTCGGCAAAAATGCTGCCCTACTCGCAGGTATCGCTTCAATCTAAAACATGGAGAGGAAGACCCTCCACTAATGGAGCACACACAAACACAACCCCTGCCAGAAGTACTTACATTCTTGTACCAGGAAAAGGACGTCACCGACGGCCGGGCGTCGGCCCGGCACTTGAGCGTAACGTTTTCGCCCTCGGCCCGGGTGATGACTCGGCTCGGATCTTCGTTGGCCAGATGCACCGATACGACCGGTTCGTCTGCAAACAGGCGGCAGGAGAGAAGGAAGCAATAATTAATATAAAATACAGCTTTGGTGCATTAGAGAGGAAATTATAAAATTTAATTTATCGTATACTGGGTCTCTGTCGGTCGGTCGGTCCGTCGTGGGGCTGCGAGACGTCTCCTATACGGCCCCTTAATCGCATAGCAGTCCCATAGGGGACAAGTAGGCATTTTTAGTAAATCATGTTTTGTTGAATCAGTTGAAAAATATGGCAACTGACCTCTGGACGATTGCATTTCAGTAGTTCTACCACACAAAGAAAGAAGATGTCAATTGAAAGCGGATAGCGTTGTTATCTCAAAACTGACGACCCATATGGGACTGATATGCGATTATATGGCAAATGCTATTTCGGTACGAGAGTGACGGGATGGAAGTAATGGTCACTCCCATTTAGCGGCGGACGGCAGCAGCAGCAGTCGCAAGCGGCCATATTTTCCGAATGTGGTCTTCCGGATAGTGGCGGTGCTGCTGATGCTTGCTACTGGCCTGCTGGCGAGAAGCGATGGTGCTTTATTACTGTGAAATTGGTCTCGTAGCGCAGTTGCAAAATTTACTCTTTCCCCGGTTTGGTGCGACAAACGGAAAATGGGTTTATTTCACTCGGTTCGGTACAATTAAACCTCAGTTGTGTTTGGGGTTTTTCGTTCGCTCTGCTTTGCGGTGTGGGTGTTGGTGTTGGGTTGGTTCACTCGAAATGGCTCAGGATAATTATAGGGGCTCCAGGAGTGAGCACAAAAGCAGGATCGAAACCTGTGAAATGTGATCAAAGCTCGATGGTTTACAATTTCAGTACATTTGCAACTAAGCCAGTGAATTTAATAAAGCTCACGAAATTTGAGCTGATTATAGCATACGTGTATGTGTTGATAGTGGTTCCCAGAATAATACTGGAAAGAGCGATGCTCGTCACGTATTCGTACCTGGCTTCCAAACTATTTTCCTTCGTCCAATTAGGGAATAAAAACTCAAACAGAATTCGCTATCAGCTGTGAGCTCTGTCCCTCTCGCACTCCAGCACAGGAAATCACTCTTGACAAAACTTGGCCCATTAAACGAATGAGTTCGTTCCAGTTTAGAAATGATAAATTATAAGCACACCCGTTTGGTCCTGCCGCCGCCGCCGGACTGTGAGACAGATAAGAAGTCACAGTCGCACCATATGTCCTCCGCCGGACTGCAGAGCTGCACGACGCTATGAGTGATACTGGTCATCTCCGCAACAGGCGACCCTGGAGGGAGGTCGGACAGCGAAATAAATATTAGCTTCGCGACATAAATAAAAGCTTATTAATGTTTGGTGCCAGCAGCCAGCAGCAGAAGCAGCAGCATCCGCCACCCACACACGACCAAACACACGTGCCGAATCCCGGAAGCGTCGTTGCCCCACCAACACCAGCCGGAAATGGAAACTCATTTTAAATTAAAACGATTCAGGCGATAAAAGTGATAAACTGCGCTTGTGACCCACGTCCGGCCTCCATGGCCAAATGCTCGGGAGCGGGGACAATTTATTAGTGCAGTTGTAAATGGGTTGTTTAAATAAAAATGCAATGGTGCTCTTGAAATGTAATTACACGCAGTTAAATGCAAATTTTACAAATTAATTGATCAGGCATTCGACTGGGTGTCGATTTCGATAGGCTAGAGGGTTACTTGTTGGGGGTAGCGACTGTGACAGCTTGTAGTCATGGACAATGGGAGTTGGATCATTTGAAATAACTAATGTTCTGCCAGTAGAATGGTGGGAATTTCAAATGGCATCCATATATTCAAAGGTCATCATTGTACAAACTAAATTGAATAGTATAATTTACTACGTTAACAGTTGGCATCATTAACACCACAGCATAAAAGTGTAAACATGCAGTCTGAAGTGTTTACACGCAATAATGGAAGAGATGAGCGGAATAGTGGTGTCTGCTGTTCTTTGGATTGTTCGATCATTCAGCATATGGGCTTGAGTGGATGAGGGATGCGGGATTTTAGAGTGCGGTTCATTAGAAGAGAACTTGCTGGCGATCCCTACTTTCTCACAGGATCAAATGCATGTTATTTGTTCTTCCGTATTGGTCGATATTAGCAGTTGAAATTTTTCGTTTGAACTCAAAGAAGCTGTATAACACTTGGGGGCCATACACTTAAAGTCTGTTCCATTTAGAATTATGTTTCCATTTATCATTTTGCAGGATTTTTATTTAGCTTTTAGGGAAAAAATAACAAAAAATATTCGTCAGCTTTTCGGATGAATTTTTGAACTTTTCGTGGAATACTACCATCCTTTTCCACCACTTCTCCAAATCAGATGGTGTTATGATTGTTTTGCCACATTTCTTCAATTTGCGCTTGAGAATTGCCCAAAAATTTTCAATGGGACGAAAATCTGGACAATTTGGTGGATTGATACTTTTCTCAATAAAATCGACATTATTCTGCTTATACCATTCTATGACATAGCGGCTGTAATGACAGCTGGCAAAGTCCGGCCAGAACTTTACGGGACCTTAGTGTGATTGAATGAACGGCAAAATTATGTTCTGAAGTGTCTTCTGTCCTTGTGAAGTTGTCCACTCATGTCGCTCCAGTCATGAAAACCTTTGTTTTCTTACCGCAACTGCAGATGCCTTGCCAAATCATCAACTTGCGAGAGAATTTATCTGCAAAGACAAATTTGACTTTATCTGGAGCATACCCCTTACGTTTAGCAATGTAAAAATGTTGTCCAAAGCCCATTTTTACGTACATAAGTTTCATCGTCCATCAATTGGTTAGAACTTGCTCGAACAGCTTCCTTGCATGGTTTTTGGCAACCGGGTTTTGTTGTTTTTTGCACGTGAGGTGCAGAATTTTTTCACGTCTGTCACGTTCCATCATCGATAACTTTTGAACAAGTATATGAATCCTGGTGAAATTTTCACTACTAAATAAACAATCTTTTTGGATCAAAACGCTGTCCATAGTTTCTTGCTAAGACAACTAGAGGCGCTACAGTAATTCAAAAGAAGCGGCCAAATACTAACTGGAACAAACTTTACGTAGGTGAGAGTCTAGGATTGCGATACTTTGGGGTTGGGATAAGTTGGATCAACCAGGTGGAAGCAAACCTACGGAGCATTTCGCGTGATCAGAGATGTTATGCCTCTGAACACCCGGTGGCGCCGACTGGGATTGAACCCAGCCCTTTTGCAGTGAGAGGTAATCACGCTTACCACTACACCACCGGCACCACTACTAGAAAGTCATCTCGTTTGATTTCAGCAATCCATAACTGTAACCCGAAGAAGATGAGTTGTGCAAACTAATTATTGACAAATGGACTGAACCCAATTATTATTGCAACTTTTATCAAGGTTTTAAAGCATTCTATAAGCCCAAATCATGGACTGCAAGGCTGTCATAAAACCAAAATTTTTATTTGTGAAATTGGTTTTCCTAAATGTGGAAAAAATCTTCAGGATATTTATTTCAATGATGACCACTAACTGCTCAAGATAGATCAAAATGAGTAAAAAATAAATTGAGGGATAAAACAGACTTTATTGGTTACTGACCATGACTATTGAGTAGGAAATATGGATGAAAATTTAAATCAACGCTTTTATTAACATATTCGCAAGTATGAGGAGCTGTAAACGATTTAATTTATTCTCTTTAAATATTTGTTAATATAAAAGCAAGTTAGACAAAGTAATACCGTTAGCGTTAGCGTTGTTATGATATACTTCGTAGATTGGATACTACCCAAGTAACAATTTGGGTTTTGTGAGGGTTCTGTAGACCATGATTTAGACTTGTAGAATGCTTTAAAACTTTGATAAAACTTACAATGTTACTTGGGTAGTGACACTCACGTCTCTTCTGAAATTCTCAGTTAGACTACTTTCAGGAATAATGCTGGGGTTCCAATCTAAACAAGAGTAACAGAAGCATGACTGTCGCTATTCCCGGCCACGCCCATCTTTACCATAGCTAGGGATAGGGAAGGAAATGTTGATGTAGTACTTACTTAACGAGAGGCCACCGACTTAGCGACACCCTCATAAGTGCTACGGAGTTGGAGGGTTGGGTAAAAAGGGTATTCGGTTAGGATTCACCTCAAGTTGGCGATGCAAACAAAAGTATGTATTGTTTATTTGTTGTTTATTTAATCTATCGATAGCCGGCTATCTAAAGAACATATTCATTTTGTTTAGTGATCATGAATTTTAAGAGTCATGACCAGGCATGGAAAATCATTTGTATCATTTCATAAATTCATTTACATTCATTTGCCTCTAACTTTTTTCATCAACAGCATTCCGCAAAATGATGTATAGAACTTTTGTAGGTTTTGTTATTAACTACAACTTTTGGTTATAACTCAAATCTGTATCTCTTATGCATCACGAACTAGAGCGGGCATAACTTGTTACTGTTTTTCAGTGAATGTAAAATACATTCACTGAAAAACAGTAGTGGCTTCTGTTCACTCTGGTTTGTCATGCATAAGAGATACGGATTTAACTTTTTGACAAAAGTTGTAGCTAATAACAAAACCTACAAAAGCTCTATACATCATTTTGCGGAATGCTGTTGAAGAAAAAAGTTAGAGGCAAATTAATGTAAATGAATGCACGAAATGAATGCAAATGATTTTCCATGCCTGGTCATGACGGAGAGCTTGGGATTAAACCCATGATTTTCTGCTCAGTAAGCAAAAACGAACCCTCCAGGGTCATCGAGCATCTCAGAACCATAACGCTTCGCGACAATACAGGACTACGTTTTCGCTTGATATGCAAGTAGTTTCCGAGGTTTATGTTCAATTTCAAATATACAAATGAAGGTGGCGATTTATTTTGCTGTGAAAGAGTTTGGGGTTAAATCCATGATTTTCTGCACAGTAAGCAAAATCGATCCCTCCAGGGTCATCGAGCATCTCATAATCCACAGCGCTTCGCGTCAAAGTACGAATATATGGATTAACTATCTATT